AATTATAGAGTGTGTCAAGATTCTTTGTCGTTGAGCAAACAGAACAAAAGCGAACTATAACACATTAAGTTTTTGTCTGTGTGTGTTAGTAGTGTGTGCTAATCATACGTGGTTAAAAAGATGTAAAGGCGTCCCCGTGCCCAGACAACAAAATTTGTATCCACCTCTAGATTTTGTTTGACAATGGTAGTGGCATTATTTCCAGCTTCTCGGTAGTGTAACTACGGCTAGTGCCACCCAGTGGGGGACACTCCCTTTTATAAAAATTAAAAAAACCTCTTCAAAATGGGGAGAAAAAATTGCTGCCCGGAGCAGGAACCCTTTCGCATCTCCTTCTCTACGCCCCTGCTGCTTCTGTTTACACGTTTTCTAATTTGTGTCTCTCATTTTCAGAAGACGGTACCTGGCATCTGTTGTCTCTTAGCGCCACCTACATTCTGCCCCACATGATGCTGTACACTGATTACGTCATAGTGTCCTATACTTCTGCCAGCAACACCACGTCGAACCGTCTCTTCATCGTCTCAGCAGACGATGATAACAAAGTTCTCATAAGGTAACGTAAACACCGGCTGGACGGCTTCCTATTTCTACAGTAATTGTTCCTTAATTCCCGTCAGCGGATTTCATTCATAAGGAGATTCCCGGGGTTGCATTCCTTTCTAGATATCGAGGGGCGGCAATTGCAATCCTCGCCATGGGCGCCGCGTTTCCTCGACACGGCCCCGAGTGCAGCGTTTGGTGAAAATAAGATCTAACCCAATCCTAAATGAAGCACCGAGAATGATGGAAATAAAATTTTAAACTATTACTAAATGAAGCACCGAGAATGATGGAAATAAAATTTTAAACTATTACTAAATGAAGCACCGAGAATGATGGAAATAAAATTTTAAACTATTACTAAATGTAGCACCGAGAATGATGGAAATAAAATTTTAAACTATTACTAAATGAAGCACCGAGAATGATGGAAATAAAATTTTAAACTATTACTAAATGAAGCACCGAGAATGATGGAAATACAATTTTAAACTATTACTAAATGAAGCACCGAGAATGATGGAAATAAAATTTTAAACTATTACTAAATGAAGCACCGAGAATGATGGAAATACAATTTTAAACTATTACTAAATGAAGCACCGAGAATGATGGAAATACAATTTTAAACTATTACTAAATGAAGCACCGAGAATGATGGAAATACAATTTTAAACTATTCCTAAATGAAGCACCGAGAATGATGGAAATACAATTTTAAACTATTACTAAATGAAGCACCGAGAATGATGGAAATACAATTTTAAACTATTACTAAATGAAGCACCGAGAATGATGGAAATACAATTTTAAACTATTACTAAATGAAGCACCGAGAATGATGGAAATAAAATTTTAAACTATTACTAAATGAAGCACCGAGAATGATGGAAATACTTAAAATTTGATAATGATTTACTTCGTGGCTCTTAGATGGAAATACAATTTTAAACTATTACTAAATGAAGCACCGAGAATGATGGAAATACAATTTTAAACTATTACTAAATGAAGCACCGAGAATGATGGAAATACAATTTTAAACTATTACTTTTTGTTTTCTTTTTTAATTAAGTGCACCAAAGGGCGAAAATGAGAAACATTCTTATTAAAATGATCAACAAAAATATTTCAATAGATGGTTCCACGGCAGATATTTCCAAAATATTTCAATAGAAGGTTCCACGGCAGATATTTCCAAAATATTTCAATAGATTGTTCCACAGCAGATATTGCCAAAATATTTCAATAGATGGTTCCACAGCAGATATTTCCAAAATATTTCAATAGATGGTTCCACAGCAGATATTGCCAAAATATTTCAATAGATGGTTCCACAGCAGATATTTCCAAAATATTTCAATAGATGGTTCCACAGCAGATATTTCCAAAATATTTCATTCGATGGTTCCACGGCAGATATTGCCAAAATATTTCAATAGATGGTTCCACGGCAGTTATTTCCAAAATATTTCAATAGATGGTTCCACGGCAGATATTTCCAAAATATTTCAATAGATTGTTCCACAGCAGATATTGCCAAAATATTTCAATAGATGGTTCCACGGCAGTTATTTCCAAAATATTTAAATAGATTGTTCCACGGCAGATATTTCCAAAATATTTCAATAGATGGTTCCACGGCAGTTATTGCCAAAATATTTCATTCGATGGTTCCACGGCAGATATTGCCAAAATATTTCAATAGATGGTTCCACAGCAGATATTGCCAAAACATTTCAATAGATGGTTCCACAGCAGATATTGTTTCTATGGTAACCAGGTTTACATCCTACGTGACAAGTCCGACCACTGCGTTCACGTTGAATGGGACACGAGTTATACACCCTGAGTCTATCGAGGCGACGTTACCGTTTGCTGGACAACTGGCGTTGGAGAGTGAGGGAGACTTGACCGGTACGAGGGTCAGGTCATCGCGTCCTTTGGCGGTCTTTATCAGCGTCATAGAGGTCAGTGTCAGTTGTGGTCAGTGCAGTGTCATAAGCTCATTGCCGTAAGGTTAGTGTCATTAGGTCTGTGTTATATTGTTATGTGGTCAGTATAATCTGATGTCAACGCTTAAAAATACCCCCTAACTACTCACCTCAATCCACCATGACACCACCTTAGATACTCACCTCAATCCACCATGACACCAACTTAGCTACTCACCTCAATCCACCATGACACCACCTTAGCTACTCACCTCAACCCACCAATGACACACCTTAGCTATTCACCTCAATCCACCATGACACCACCTTAGCTACTCACCTCAATCCACCATGACACCACCTTAGCTATTCACCTCAATCCACCATGACACCACCTTTGCTATTCACCTCAACCCACCATGACACCACCTTAGCTATTCACCTCAATCCACCATGACACCCCCTTTGCTATTCACCTCAACCCACCATGACACCACTTTAGCTATTCACCTCAATCCACCATGACACTACCTTAGCTATTCAAATCAATCCACCATGAAACCACCTTAGCTATTCACCTCAACCCACCATGACACCACCTTAGCTACTCACCTCAACCCAACATGACACCACCTTAGTTCTGACCTCAGTCCAACATTACACCTCTCGGTCTAAAATACTCATCTCAATCCACCAATATACCATATATACTATCCACCACTTAGTACAGTTCCACCTTCTTGTATCTAGCTAACCGGTGATGTGTCCTATGAACAACTCTTGCCAGTCATCCAGTCAGTGACGTCATTCACTTCATGGCACCCCATAAAAGTAAGAATGAAGGAAGTACACGTGATTGGATGTATTGATAAGTGCATGGATGTATGGACATTGTGTGGATTTATTGACGGATGTAGTAACAAGTATACATTTATAGTAAAAAGTTTACGCATATACTAACAAGTGTACGGATATAGTGACAAGTGTGCGGATGTCATAAAAAGTGTACATGAAAGTGTACAGATGTAGTAACAAGTGTAAATGTATACTAACAAGTGTACAGGTGTAGTAACAAATGTACAGATGTAATAAAAATGTGCATATATAGTAACAAGTGTACAGATGTACTAACAAGTGTACAGCTGTAGTAACAAGTGTACAGATGTATAAGTGTACATATGGGGTAACAATTTTACATATATACTAACAAGTGTACGGATGCATTAACAAGATGTATGTTCAGGTTGATATTCTCTAGTTAATTATTTCTTCAGTACACTAACTCCCAGTATGGATCCCGAACCATCGCCCCAACACCAGACAGCTACACAGTTGCCTCTGGCGCTACTCAAGTGTATTTTCAGGTACGGTACTTCCCATAATTGTAAATGTAGGCGTCTAGCACTCGAGCCGTTGGTTTGCTGGCCCCTGTCCCAGGGTACTTTATCTGAATTAAATTATTGTCAGAAACGCCCGTCGAAACCCTACGTGCCATATAGTTATAGCTATAACTCATTTTTTTTTACTCCAGACATAAACCTTAAAAAAAAATTATTCCATATTTAAGATATTTGAGAGATAATATATCGAGGCAGGGCCTGGCCTGTATTTAAGCTTCCTTAATACCGAAAAACAGAAATTCGAATCACATATTATTTTTTTAAAACAATTTTGAATTTTTCAATTATTGTCAGATCGTAGATTTCCCTATTCCGAAATGTTTATATCTTGTATCCATTTAGATCCTGATGTGTCCGGCTTCCTCTTCACCGCTGGCCCTCCCCCAACATCACATGTTTTATATTAAAAATACTGAGAAGGAAAAAAAAAACAAAAAACTTTCACGCAATGAAGTTTCATGCGTGACGTCTGAACTCAGTTCAGGTTGATTTTTTTCTTCAGGGAAAGGCGACTATTATATTAATCAATAAAGAAACGCGTTGATGGTGCAGGACTGTCTGAAGGTCTGTCTGTAGGCCTAGTGTTTAAAGGCCGGGCGGTAGACTGCAGGTCTGTCAGTAGGCCTATTCTTTAACGGCCGACAGGTAGGGCGTAGGACTGTCAGCAGGCCTATTGTTTAAAGGCCGGGTGGTAGAGTGCAGGACTGTCTGTAGGCCTATTCTTTAAAAGCCGCCAGTTAATGTGTCGAGTTGTGCGCAGGCCTATTGTTTAAAGACCGCTAGGTAGGGTGTAGGACTGTCCGCGGGCCTATGGTTTAAAGGCCGACAGGTAGGGTAGGGTGTAGGTTGTTTAAAAGTCAGCATTTATTAAAGAAAATATACTGGTAACACTTTGATCCACCATACATATAAATATTTTTTAAATGTGTACTAGTTACCCCAGGACAACCGGACATTCCGTCTGAACCAACCAGGAGACACCTATCAGTTTCACCTCAACCAGAACGTCAACATCACGGCCAGTGAATCTTTCACAGGTCTTAAGTTTCTACACCACACGGATACCAGCAGCAGACAACTCGTCGATTGCATAGCATCTCTCACAACAGGCTCACTGTGGAGATTTCAATATTCTTGGGCGATTCCTAGATATTATCTGACACAGAACTGGACAACGACATCAGATGTTCATATTGTCGTGATAATTCAAGAGGTAATTCAACCAGCATTGTATTTGTAACGTTGGGCGTTATTAGGGGGGCGTCTGACGCCACGCGGGATGGGAAGGGGTGTTTGAGGGACGTTGAAATATATCCATCCTAGTACCAAGAAATTTAGAGGGCTGGTGCTGTGAGACCAGTCGGTCGGGTGCTCCTGGGTCGGTGACGCACCACGTGCTTGCTCAATCGAGTGGGCGGCGGGTGGGGCTTTCCCAGTGGCTGCAGAGTGCTCCCAGCGTGCCGTGCCGCTTAGCGGCCCAATTAGGTTTAGTTGGGCTGGGGGAGGAGGGAGGTATGCTGGAGTAGTCCTAAAAAGCTCTGGCTCAAATTTATTCTGCTTTTCTTATGAGATTAGGTTTGATTTGTAAGGTTGTGAAGGGATTTTTATTTATTTTTTCTTCATTTTTGAGAACAGTGAAGTGGAAAAGAGTTGAAATTACTCACATCAGTACACATTTTCTCAATATACACTTCAAGCTATTGAAATACGAATCGGCAGTAAACAACAGCCGCACTAGGGCAGAGAACAGTAAACAACAGCTGCACTAGGGCAGGTAACAGTAAACAACAGCTGCACTAGGGCAGAGAGCACAAAAGCACAAGAGAAAAGGACAAGGAAGGTGGGAAAATGACGGTAGCAAAAGAGAGCCAAAAAAAAGTATGGTCATGAAATGCTTTGAGGAATTACTAAACAGACAATACCCCCCCCCCCCACAGACATACCAGATAGACAACCGGCAAATGAAGATTTAGAAATAGTAGGTTAGCCCAAAGTAAGGGAGAAAGAGCCCTGGCTATCAAGTAGCTTAAATTTGGGAAAGTACTGGGGCTGGATAACCTCACAACAGAGATGAAGAGAGCAGATATAGATAAAATAATAACACATAGCTCACCCTCTGTTTGAAAAGACATGGGAAGAAGAGAGAGTTCGAAACGATTAGAAAGAAGGATAACTCCTTCTATATATTACAACATATTGTTACAACAAGCTTTTTTTTTAAAGTGGTGATAAAGCAAGTGCACAGTAAGTGTGAGAAGGAAACTCTGAAATCGAAACCCGGAGATGGAGTCCCGAAAGGCGGATAACATTGGTACAATGAAACATTCCGACAACTCCTGCGACGCCACTGGTGCCAAGCTGTATCATCCAAGTGATGTTCCCTTGGGTTATCCAGCGGCGTGGAGAGAGGCGATTTGCTGTTGGGAACCAGCTTATAATCCTTCAAGAATAATTCCAGGCCATGTGCATTTCGTCCTCCGAAGCCCACTACATCGTCACATTGTGACGGACGGATGCCAGCACAGTAAGTGTGTGGGCTCAAATCCTGCAACAGAATATTGACCAAGAGGAATTTAATTATGTTTAATGAAAGTTAAGAAAGTTCCTTTTATATTCCATTGCAGATTTATCTGGACTTCTTAAAGCTAGACGGCTATTACTTCAAACCAGATGTAACAGAAACAGTTCTATCCTCTGAAAAATACGTAGTAGTCACACACAGGTAACGGTACATCAGAATAGACAAGGCCAGAAATAAATTATTTTAAATTTTCATTTTTTAAATTTTTTTTACGGAAAAAAAATAAGATAAACGATTGTTAGTACCATGTCCCAACAATCATGTGTAATATCTTTATCTTTGTGCTATCCCTGTTTTTTGTGTGTACTTGTAGAGTCATAAATATGGATAACACTAGTTTTATTTGTCTACTTGTAGCGTTGTTCCATGGGCCCACGTTCTGGAACCAGCTCCCCTTCCATATCCGTCGTTGTGTTCATTTTCAAAAAGTCCTTTAAACTCATCTGTTTAGGTCCGCCTATGACCTGTGATGCACCCTCCTTGCCCTGCCTCATTTTCTGTTTCGGGTTGATCCTGAAGTATAGGCCAAAACGTGTCAAAGCGTCCTCGTTTTATAGCCATTTTCATTGTTTCTATAGTATATTAGTTACTATCCTAGTGTCTCATTTTTATTTTACTTAGTTTACATGTTTTTTAATAATTGTAAAGCGCTTAGAGCTTTATGGTAAGCGCTATATGAAAATGCCTAAATAAATAAATAAATATACACATGTTTATTTGTTTATTTGTGTACATGTAGAGTGGGATATGGATATCACACACTTAGCAACGACCACGGCCTCTTTGGTGTGTTTGTGTATGGTGAAACAAATGAGAAAAAGTTTTGTACAGCAGCGGGCATGAATCATATGGTAAGTTAGATATGAAAGGATACATAAGGTTAACAAAGTTCAAACAAATTTAATCTGCTGTCTTCAAAATTTGGCTCGTTAAATGAGCAATACGTAGCAAAGAACTGCAAACCAGTATACAACGAAAATCAATACCAAAGCTAATGCTATTAACTAATACTCAATATAGTTATACTATTAAGTTGAAGGGAAAAAAACGTCATATATACAGAAATAAAAACTAAAATAACTAATGCAAGTAAAAAAAGTATAATACTAGAAAGGTACAAATATTAATCCACACAAACACAGGGAAAAAGTGGTCTTGTATGGTGTCTTGCCTTGTATCTCTGGTAAGTCGCGTAAGTCTATTGGTCAAAGTCAGCCATCATAATTATAGTGAAGGGGTCAGAACCTCTCAGAATAGAGAGTCTGGAAATTCAATTGTTTTTATCTCCCTCTATTTAGACCCTTATGGAAATGTAAACAAACTTTCCCAATCAAGGGTGATGAGGTAAAGGAAGGGTAACATTTGTCACCGGGTTAATTGGTGACTTCATTAACAAAAACAAAGGGGGAGGTCATGGTTGCATGGCACGGCTCAAACAAAAACTAGGTCAATACAAAGGCTATAACAAAAGTCTTAGACATCGCACTCGTATGGTAAGTTAGATATGAATAGTATAGTAAGTTAGACATCACACTCATATGGTAAGTTACATATGAATAGTATAGTAAGTTAGACATGAACCATATTGCAAGTTAGCCACTTATTTATCTAAATTTGGAATTCAACCCTTCGCATTTTATTGACATTTCTCACTCAGTAACATTTTTTCCATGTCCATCCTCAGGGTCACAATTTTTCGAACCTGGGAGAATTTCCGATTCCTGGCAACATTCAAAAGTCAGACTTTCAAGACTACAGCGTGACGTCAACCACCAGCACACCCCCACCGAGCCACAATCGAACGGTGTGCCCCACGCTTCCCACACAAGTCAAGCTGACCAACATGACATCACAAGACCTGGCCGCCATATTGGATGAGATCAGAGACGACCTTCTAATGGATACAACGAAGCTGTCTTCAAACTTACGAAGGCTGGCCAGCGTCCCTGACCACAGGCCGTCCTCGACAGGGATGGGCCTGTCGGGCATTGCCTTCATCGTGACCTGCTTCTTGCTGCTCGTGTCCGGTGACGTCATCAACGTGGGCCGATGGTTAAGGGCAGGTTGCAAACACAAGAAGTGATGATGTAAAGCTCGTGTATTGTAAAAGCACGTGGCTATATGTGATGGTGTGATATGTTTTATGTATCCCATCTTGCATCTCATAACCTTGTCATTGTCTTCAACATTTCTGTGATCCTTTATTTCACTTTTTTATCCCTTCTGGCCCTTGACCCCCCCCCCCACCCAACACCCCGATTCCCTCCTTTTACAAACTCAATTTTAACTAAAGACTTTCGTCGCATTCTATAAGTAAGCTGTCAATCAGGGTTACCATCTTGCCCTTGCCCCCCCCCCCACCCAACACCCCGATTCCCTCCTTTTACAAACTCAATTTTAACTAAAGACTTTCGTCGCATTCTATAAGTAAGCTGTCAATCAGGGTTACCATCTCCCTAAAATCAACGCTGGTCTTTAGGGTGTGCGACGTGTGCCCTCGCACGGGGCGCCGTGGCCATAGCGGCGCCTGGGGATACTCCTGGGGATACGTATGGTTAGCTACATGTATGGCATCATAACGTGTGCCCCATAGCCTACGTCGCAATCGGAAAAAGAGCGGAACCGTATAGGAGAAGGAAAGGGGGGCGCCGAACGGGTGCTTCGCACAGGGCGAAAGTTTACGTAAGGCCAGCGTTGCTAAAAATAAAATTTAAATATTTTAAATCTTCAAACATTTTACAGACAAACAGATTTTTACGGCCTGCTGCAAAGAATTATCACTATTCATGGATAATGCATGAGTAATGTGTCACAATGTTGACCATACCCAGAGCCTCATATGCCTTATTCTGACCATGTATTATCATACCAAAGAATAATTAGAATGTAAACACATTAATTTTTTCACAGTCATATTATCTCGGATTTATTATAAGTCGAAACTAAACCATGCATGTCTGTGGGGCAACAAATACCAAGGAGTGACATTAAAAAATCATTGAAATGATCATTTAAATATTATTTTGGTCACCGCCCCATTGGCATCAGAAACCCATCCCTGCGCCCCCTGACATCATGAACCCAACCCTAGCGCCCCCTTGTGTTACTCCCCACCCCCCAAAAAGAAATGTGTTCAGGACAGAAGAAAGATTACAACAAAAATAAAATGTAATAGTTTTATACTTAATTGAAATTTTTAAAATTAAAATGTACTACCACATCTACTTTGAAGTGGGATTATGATACGGCACTAAGTAAATGTAACTTACTTCTACATCGCTCAATTCTGCTACTGTATGCTGTGTTTGGGACTGGTACAATGAAACCATCTCTTCATGTCTGGTCAAATGTAACTTAACAAGACTCTTTGCACATAACTGTACACTTTCAGAGATATGGATTATGTTTCGTTACATAAGCCTGACGAAGGCTTCCTGTCGACACGTTCGTTGTTTTGAGTATAGCTAATGAGCAGAGTTGATTTAGCTATTAAACTAGAATGTATTCACTTGAACAAGATTGACATCCTCTCCCATTGATTTCATTGAAATCTGAACATATTTCTGGGAATAGCAAAGTCATGTCGTATGACCAAAGGTTCATAGGTCTGCAATGAGAGAAGCATTAGCCCTTACAAATTAAATTAGTGTTAGTGTCAAATATATCTTAAAAGTACAAGCGAATGACACACTCTCTTAGGGAAATTCTTTAAACTTTCAGCTTTTATCCACCATATATTGGCGATGACTAAACAAATCAGATGTCAAGATATATGGTACTTGAGTAAAAAATATAGTTTAAAATAATTAAAAACAAAACTGCGGTAACAAACGGTCCTTGGTGTGGAAATTTTCGTTAATTTATAGGTAATAAAACTTATTGGCCTACACAGTCGCACCACACTCTATTGTAAAAAATTACCCAAAAAACCAACCAACTTTCATCAAATAAAGACATAAAATGAAATAATATTATATAAGAATGAGCAAGGCTGACCGTAACGCCAAAGAACCCAAAAGATTTAAGTAAGTTCGGATTCTTAAAAACAAGCTCTGATTATTTTCTATTATTTTATGAAAAATATTATATATCTGCTTTTAAAAGTTTAAGTATCATTATTATAAATAAAAAATACATTTAAAGTAACAACTAAAGAACTCTTTTAAGCATTTCTTCCGAATTTAAAAGTTATGGAAAACATATATAAAAAATTATAATCTAAGAATTGCATCGTAATTACATTTATCGGGAAAACACAAACACCTGTTGTGTTTAGTGCGTTTTAGTGCGCTGTTAATATTGTGAAATAAAAATAAAATTAATTTGATCTAAATAAATATGCAAATTACGTCATAGCGCGATTGCCTTTTTTAGCTAAAGCTCTAAGTTTCTTTTATTTAATAACCGCACGTGACAGAACTGATTATTTAATTCCCCATTCTTAAAAGTAAAATTAATAAATTTAATTGATTTATTTTTAAATCTATATATATATATATAAATGAATGTCTTTATGTAAGTATGTCCCGTATGCGCTCAAATACCATTCATGAAATTGCGATAAAACTTTGGTGAGCTGATATCCAAGAGCCCGCGCATTTTTCTGAGTCATTACAACCCTTTTAAAATATTCCGTTTTGTGCTGTTAGCCCTAAATTCATGTTTTTTTTTCTTATATGAGCTATATAAATATAATTCCCATATGAGTTCCTTTACCATTTATCCGATTGCGGTAAAATTTTGTTGAGTTGTAGCGCACATCCACAAAGGTTTCTAAATTAGTGCAATCATTTTAAATTATTCCTTATGGGATCGGGGGCCCTAAATTATTTTTTTCATATGTGAACTATATAAATATAATTTCAAACAGAGCTAATGCATGGATGGATCAATCGTTACAAGTGTGTGGACTAATTTTTTTAAAATCCATGCTTCTGATATGGACAGCGGTATGTGGCCTTCTAACGTGTCGTAAAACCTTCTAATTTATTCGTATACGCACCAGACGAAAAAAAAAATATAAAAAATATTGTCTATATATTAATTAGTTCAAAAACGTAATTAAAACACAAACACTTTCTCTCTTTGAGTGGCATTGCAAAGCATGCCGGGTTCTCGCTAGTACTAATTAGATTCGACCGCTCAGCATAATGATCCCCACCGCTGACAATGATGGCTGTCTGTAATTTATATATACTAGCCGATTTACCCGGCGTGGCCCGGGATGGCATTAGGACCCAATCCTGGTGGGAACCCGATCCCATTGGGACCACAATCTCATTCTGACCACGATCTCGGAGCAGTTCCGTCTCCCGGTGTGATCCCGATCCCGGTGGATCCAATCAAGGTTAGGATCCCGATCCCTTAGATCCCACTATATATCCCTTCTGAGAAATACGGCTTCCATTGATGCCAAATACGCTTATGGTAGGGCGATTCTTAGTAAAACGATTCGGTAACAGTTAAAAACATTAAAAATGAATTTTTACCCATTTATAGGGATACAAAATATATTATTTTAAAAAAGTTTCTTCAATGTTTTAATGATTAATTCTTATTTATTTAAATTTAAATAGAGAAAATGTTTTCGAAGACATATATAATATTATATATCGAAGCACAGAAATGATACAAAATTAATATTTTCCCCAATTCGTCACTAATATCGCCCCTTAACATTTGAGATATTCCGACAGCTTGGTTTCACCTGATATCTTTCTGTGTTGTATTTCGGACAGTGTTCTGATTGTTGTTTTTGAACATTCGTCAGTAATTATTTTGTTTGTTGTCATTGAACATGACAAGATTAAAGCGTTTTTATAGTTCAAGATTATTATATCATTCCACGCGGCGTGACCAA